TTTGATTATGAAAGAAAATGAAAATGTTTAAATCATTTTTCAAAGAAATACAATTATTAAAGGAAAAGTTCAATGTAACTTGTGTTTGTGATTATTGACACCAAAATACAATAAAAACTTGACTGAATGAGACTGAATTGAGGCAAGACTATAAAAGTAAGTCAAATGTAATGCATTAGAAACAATAACAAATGTCATTTCCGGTTTTAAAATCTGTGAAATATATAATATCAAGAATATAACAAAAGGCATGCTCATATATTGATGATATGAGCCTATGAGGGTACTTTGAAAAGTTTACAAAAAATGGAGTAATACACAATTCTTCTTAAGTGCTGAAACTTACTGAAAAGTGATTGCTATTAAATATAAGAGTGGGAATAAGAGAGGGAAGAGATGTACAATTCGGGACATGCTCAAGCTGACTTACCTCAAACGGTAGAGTTAGAAACATACCAGGGGATTCGAATTCAATCCCATCGAGGTGGCATGTACCAATGCCATCTCACTAGTCCCAGTGATCAATTTCTGTTCGCAATTGATCGTAATGATAGGACTAAGAACCAAAGGGATCACAGAAACAAGAATAGTGTCTGCAAATACTAGCTGATAGAATAAAATGGGAGAGAATGATCCAACATGGGAAGTGAGATACTCAGCAGACCCATAGAATGGCAAATGTCCTAACAGCACTCTGGCCTCATAATCAGCCCTTAAGGCATGCGGATCCGGCTGAAATGCCCATGAGAGTATTTCAGGCATGGAAAGCCAAGACACTCTGGGGGAAAAAAAAAGCCTAAATGAAAGATCTCCGTGAGTGAGATCCCAGTGGAAAGAATGGGTCATCAAAGAAGGAGGTACCTTTCTCTGAAGGGAGGAGAGAACTTCCACTTTGACCATGGCCTTGTCTAAATATGATCAGAGTCAGTGAACTCAGGGGGCTTCCATAGCCTTGGCAGCTCATCACAACAGCCTAGGGTGATTACTGATGCCATAAACAAGGGTGTCAATTTGTTAAGTCAACAACAGGAGTCACTGTGCACTTACTCCTCATGTAGGATCTTTGTCCTTAGTGTGCTGTACATTGTGATTTAATGCTATAACTAGTACTCAAACAGTATTTTTCACTTTATGTTTCTGTGTGGGAGCACACTGTTGAAATCTTTACTTAATGTATGCTAAACTGATCTTCTGTATATAAAGAGAATCGAAAATGAATCATGATGTGAATGGAAGGGGAGAGGGAGTGGGAAAGGGGAGTGTTGCGGGTGGGAGGGAAGTTATGGGGGAGAAGCCATTGTAATCCATATTCTGTACTTTGGAAATTTATATTCATATTCTGTCTTTGCTACTTGCAAATAAAGACGTCAAAAAATCTCAATAAAAAATTAAATATTAAAAATTTTAAAAAAATAAGTACATTATAGTGCAAAAACTTGAAATCCATTCATTTGAGGAATGCAATCCATGCATTCTCAAAAGTTCATGGAAAAGTAGACATGGATTTCTATGCTCTTGTACAAAAATAAATTTATCTTTTAATCTGAGTTTTCAAAATTTTTGAAGTACCTTCATATGTTAATAAAGTTTCTTAGGCAGTTCATACTGCTATAATAAAATGCTGTAGACTGAGTGAATTAAACAACAAAATTCCTTTCTCACAGTTCTGAAGTCTGTAAAGTCCAATATCAAGATTCCAACAAATTAATTTCCTGGCGACAGCTCTCATACTAGTCTGCAGATGACCAACTTTTTCAGTGTTCTCACATGGCAGAAAGAGACCAGAAAGAGAAGTAGAGATAGACAGATGATAGATAGATAGATGATATATAGATAGATAGATAGATAGACAGACAGATATAGATTATAGACAGAACAAGAGAGAGACAACAATTGAGCGAGATGGGGAGAGATAAATGATGTCGGAAAAAAGATGATAACTGAGACCATGAAATCTTTGGGAAAAAATTAAAATGTGATATAGATTTATAGCACAAATTTATAATACTTTTTGAGTTGCTAAGCACCCAGGATTATTTGCTCATCAGATACCAACATTATTAATAAATTAAAGCTCACAGCCTCTTGGCATAAATCTCTGTCACATGAGCTTGAATCTCTGGAACTTTCCTGAAATCGGTGCAGTAATGGTTGCTACCAAGGGTCAGCTTTTTGTTTTCAAGGTTATAATACTATTTGGTGTAGGTTTAGAATAAGTTCTTTTTTTTTTTTTTGAAGATTTATTTTATTTATTTGAAAGACAAAGTTACAGAGAGAGGTAGAGACAGAGAGAGAGAGGGCTTCCATCCGCTGGTTCATTCTCCAGATGGCTGCAATGGCCGGAGCAGCGCCAATCCAAAGCCAGAAGCCAGGAGCTTCTTCCGTGTCTCCCACATGGATGCAGGGGCCCAAGGACTTGGGCCATCTTCCACTGCTTTTCCAGGCCATAGCAGAGAGCTGGATCAGAAGAGGAGCAGCCAGGGCTAGAACCGGCGCCCATATGGGATGCTGACACTTCAGTCCAGGGCTTTAACCCACTGCACCACAGTGCCAGCCCCCTAGAATAAGTTCTTGTGCTAGTGAACTGGAAGAAGCACACAATATGGCACTTCTCACTGCTATGGGTATCATGCTGGGTCGCTACTTAATTTAGATGACTATCCACTTCCAACGCATTTCCTTCAAATGAATGATGGGGAGGAATCTCCTTCATTAAAAAGACAGCTGTAGCCATGTATCATTTTCTTCACAGGGCCTTACACAAATGGGGCCCTTGGTAGTATATTCTTTATAATGCTCCAGAGACATCGTGGTAGAAAACAGATTTGACCACACTCTAACCACTATCCACCACCACACATTCTTTTCCTGACCTATAAAATTGTCTTTTCCTTTTATTCTTCCTTTTCCTTGGTTTATTCTTTCCCCAGTCTCTATACTGTTCTCTTTCTTCTCCCCCTCCTTTCCTTGCCCCTTCCTCCTCTTCCCCCACCCTTTCTTATTCTTCTCCCTCTTTCTTTCTCCACTGGATTGCATCTAAAGAAAATGTTAATCCCTGGTCAATCATAACTTAGAGAAAATACTTTACAATTTATTTTATTAGTAATATGTATTTACAATACCATACAAATATAAAAGGATATAAAATTTGAAATACAAATAAAGCTATAATCCTATTCCATTCCTCAGAGATAACTCTTATGTACACATTCTCTGGGCTATCTATCGAAAAACAAACTAAGATTAAAGTACAATATGTATGTTGTGTTTTTAATTTGTTTTTGTTTAGTATAACAGTATAATTTAATTTTCTACATCATTCATTCAACTAGATGGACATACCATTAATTGAGGAAATTTTTAAAGAGGAACAAAATCCAAAAAGAATTCCTAATTTGCCTTAGACTGGCAGTTGTGGCAAATAATTCTATATCTTCATCTACAAAATGAACAGAAGAGTGAGATTTCTCACATTTTCCAAAGAAAATTGATTCTACCCCCCTTGCTATAGCTACTAATTTTGAAATAAAATTTATGATGAATGTGTCTGTGTTTCAAAACAAAAAAGAAAAAGATTAGTGGCCATAATTTATTCTTGAATTGTTTTAAACAAAGAAGTCTTCAATTTTCATAACTTATTTAAAGCTTAAAACAACAAATGCTAGAAGAATATTTGTGAACTCACAAATCTCTGTATTCTACCAATTCAATCATTTAATTTTACAAAAATGTTTTGTCCCTTTTTAAAAATTACAATTTGCCTCTCAAATATAGTATATATTTGAAAGTGCTATAGTGTAGGTTAAAACCAGCTATGCTATACTAATAATGTTTAATTCCTTCTTCTTAAATTTTTTTTTAAAATTGATTTTGAATATATTACAGATCTGGAAGTAAAATATGGAAGATATGCATGAATTTCAAATGTGAATTAATTAACATTCTTTACTGTTATTGATATGTACATTTTGTAGAATCATCCTTGAATAACATTTGCATGTGATTTACATTCAATTTCTCCATATTCATTTTTGCATATAGTTTGCATGCATTTCAATGTATAGCTATTTCCTACATTTAGAGTTAGACTGCTAGATGAATAGGAGTCATTCAAATGAATAGTCCTTCAAATGGTTAGGCCTGAGAGCTAAAGGATTCATGATATTACATGGCCATATTGGACAAAATCATGGGTCAATCTGTCACAGGGTACACCTGGATCAGTCTGTCATTCTAGAAGATACGTGAAGTTCTTTCAAAATCATCTTCCATGAACACAATCCCAAAAAATAGAAACATGGTCTGAAACTACTCTACCTTCCTTCCCAATTCCCTTTTAATTTTGAGGACCATATTTATTTATAACTATTTTTGTATTTATTTATTTGGCAAAAGTTGTATATTTTTATCATGTTCAATGTGTTTTGAAATATGTATACAATGTAGAAGGGCTCAATTGAGCTAATTAACATTTGCCTCATCTTACAATTATAATTTTTGTGGTGAGGACTTTTAAAATCTGCTCTCAAACATTTTTGAATTCCCTACCAATTTAGCTTGTCAGTCTTTTAGAATAAAGGAATCTATAAAACACATAAAATTAGCAATAAGAGGCAAGAGCAGATTATTTGAAATAACAAAGAAATAAGACATTTTTCAATTGTTTCTCTGGATAGAAGATATATTTTCACTACTGGGAAATATTTACTAGGCTACCCATGCTAATGATCTAAACACATTTAGGGTTGGTCTATGGTGATGTCTTAATAGCCTCTTCCCCAAACATGAATGAATTGAAAGCAACTCTTTTTTGCTCCCAGTGTTTGCCCAATGCTCTCATTTTGGGGGGAGGAGAAAGAGGACAAGCTTCACTATGGTTGAGGGGATTCTGGCTAGACTCCTTAATCCCATGCCTCATGCTAAAGCCCTGCCAATATCCTGGATGTGCTTGGCTGCTGTTCAGGTCTAAGGAGTCAATTCTGGCCTCAGGGATCTCAAGCTTTGCTGGGGTGGAATGAAGAGGTTAATTATGATTTTTCCTAAAGAGAGGGATAGGATAAAACTTGCCTTCCAGGAAGATTAGTCTTGCAGCGTATGGAGGATGGATGAGGAGATAGTAAAGATTGAAAGAAGGATAAAGAGGCAGAAATAACAGAGCGGTTAGCTAACTATTTGGGAAGGGTGAGATTGAAAGAGGAGTCATGGTTGACTTCTATAATTCTGGTCTGTGTGCAGCGTTGTCATTCATTGAATTAGAAAAAGCAAGCGTGAGAAGTAGCAGGATGAGGACTGTGTTAACCTCATTGTGTCTGTGGGATAACCTACTAGGACTTCTCATTCAGAAGCTAAAGGCAAGCTACAGAGCTCAGGAAAGATATCTGGTAATTTGAACTCGTGAAAGAAGTCACTGTAATCAGAGGGAGAAAGCATAAACCCTCAGCTCTCAGCAGGCAGTGCGCAAAGGATGCTGCCATGTAAGAGTCCTCAAAATTGTTAAACTCTGAAAAGTTTTTATACAAAAAGATTACAGCTCTTTGAGGGTCCAATGTATGCACTAAGGTAGAGGTTACAAAGGCAAATGGCTTCATAGAACAGGGAGCTACAACATGTCATAAAGAGCTAGTTATGGCAAGGGCTAATTAAACTAGGGAAGGAATGTTCCACTCAAGACATTCAAGTTATTTTTGCTTTGTTATGTTTTGTCAGTGCCCAAACAAAAAATATCTACAAAGAGGCTTTACCTTACAGGCAGCCAGCCTATACCTGCAGAGCAAATTTATCTCACCAGTTTGCTCTTTAATACACTCCCAACACACAGACAGCATAGACTGACCTCTCTTGGAGAGCACTGACCTCAGTGTCCAACTACTCTCTCCTTCAGAAGCCAATGCAGTACCACAGAGAAGGCTGCTTCCTTCCTTCCAGGGGCAGTCTTGAGATTTGAGATGTCCACAAGATATGTACAGAATGGATCAAGAGGCTGAGAATCTTCTTGTCAACTTGTAACTGGATAAAACATGCCTTCTTATTGATACCCTGCAGATGATGGGTTTCTGTAAGTTCCCTCTAAGGGTTCTAATTCCAGGGCATCATTATTCAAAATTCAGCAAGAGAATACGTTCCCATCTTCTGTTCCAACTCAAACCTAAGATAGTTGTTTAACCTTTCAGAGACTGGAAACGTGTGGTTCACATGTCATGAAAATCTGAGAACAACATCCTTCTGGATATTCTCGTAATGCCTGCTATGAGTATTACACCCCTTAATCATAAGGCTTTTTGTATTCAGGGCCAAGGACAGACAAGCTACTTAAATACCTTTTAGATGGGCCCTGCATGAATGCATGAATAAGGTGAGCTTGTCTTTAGTATCTTTACCTAATTTATCAGCATCATTTGATCCTCTGTCCAGGTGCCCATCAGAACCTCTATCACCTAAAGAGGTTGCATCTGATGTAATTCCTGCCCACCCCCAACTGCATTAGAGATCTGTATGCATTATTTTTTTCCAAAGAAAGCAGTTGTTTGATAAAGGAGTAACAGATAGTGCACTTGATGGCTTTGTTATCTCTGGTCTCCCAATAAATTTTTCTTCAGTTGTAAATTTGACCCAACTACTAACAAAAAGAATTGCTGAAAAATATAACTGAAGCCCTTGGACAATTTCCTTTTCAGAGTTAATACTTTTACATATTTGTCCTTAAATCTTCATGTACAAATAACTCATCAGGCACAAACTTGTTATGTTTGCAGTTCTGTTGGGCTCCCAATAACGACTGAAATTAAACCATGAAATAAAATCCACTTGCTAAAAAAACAGGAAGTTGTCTTGTGATTGGAAGACAAGCTCTGAAGATCAAGAGGCAGCGTGTTCTGTCCTTAAAGTGCCCCTCAAAGATAAAGAATTGGGTTTCTGTAGTACTACAGAATTAACTGTACCTGACCACGGCTTTTCATGACTCTTTTCCTAAGAGAACCACAAAGCATTGCGGGTGATCATCCCAGAGAAAGCTTAATAACAACTCCAGCTGGCAGAAGTCAGAATTACATCACTCAGTTGGCAAAATCAAGAACATAACAGCCTTATATTGTTTTTTTTTAATTAAAAATATTAAAAAACAAGTAGAACATTAACAAATGATTGATAATCTATTATTTGCCTGGCTCTTATCTAGGATCAGTGATAGATACAAGATCTGCTAGACACTGTTCACAACTATTCATATAAACCTATTCCATTTTAATGTTGAAAAGGGGATTTGAAGTCCACATTTTCCCTTCTTAGTTGTTCTTGCAGGTCAGGCCTCACATCCTGTGTTTATTATCTTGAAATAGCTACAATATCCTGCTTCTGAATCAAGATGCCCACTCCACTCCCTGGTCACAGCTGTTCTGGCATAGGATCTGGGTGTGCTGAATGGAGATGAACTGCCACACTGGCATCGCAGGCGGTTTTCGTCTCTTGGGAAGGCCCCAAGCTGCCACCTTCTTTGCCTAGCTGACTCTGCCCCTGCAACTGCTGTCTGCCTTCTTTGAGGTCTGGGCACAGCAGCAGCAGCTGATTCTGGCGTGCCAGCTGATATCTGAGCAACTGCTCCTGGGCCTCCTTCCAGTTCCCGCTCTCCTGCATGTACACCTGCTGAGCAGGAGAACTTGGGGAGCAGCTGTGCCTGTGGGATGTGATGCCAGTGACGCTGGGAACAGGGACAGCAGTTGTTTCCTGTCCTGCAGTGGGTCGGCCAACCTTCCTCCTGGATACTCCGTTCAGTGACTGGTGAGCCAGCTGGTTCAGTTTGCCTAGCATATCTATGAAGAGAAGAAGTAAGGGAAAAAAATGGATTTAGTTTTGAACCAGCTGATTATGCATTTTATATATTTAGCATTACTGACAAGATATGGTCATCTAACTAAAGTTGGAATTATATACCAACTCACAGATTCCCAAATAACTTTGGAAATATATTCTTCCTAAAATATAGCACCATACTCCAAGCCCAAATATATCTAATAGAAGTCTGCTAATACTGCTTTCCTAGAAAAACAGGTTATATCAACTAAGTTTTTTTTGTTGTAATTATGACTAAAATATGAAAACTACACCACAGTTAGGACTTACCAGTGAGTCTTCTCTGTACAAGACAACCCACTACTACACCTGTATTAATAAATGTGAACTCTAAAAATCAGTCTTATGTATTACTATAGATTTTATGACAAACTTATAATTTCACTATTTTTGATTTTTATAGAAGTATAGATATAATCACATGTAGGTGTGATGTAAAGAAATCATCTATGTATGATTGTGTAATAGTAGGAGAGAAGTCACACTGGACTCAGATCACAACATTAGCGTTTAAGTTCCCCATTTGCCAGTTAGCTTTGTGACTTTCATTCTGTTGCTTAACCTCTAAGGGTTTCAGTTGTATAATTTTATATTTTTCTCAGGTGCTACTTAACAATTTACTAACATATACTTCATTTAACAATCTTGTTTTAATTATGTTGTTATCCCTTAACATTTTATTGATGTTATTTTCCCATTAAATAGAATTAGAAAACAACTCAGAAGAGTACAACATTGGTAAGCAGATAATTTAGGCATTTTTGTCCTATTTGGTCCCAATGCTTTGAAGGGTATATTATACAAGCATTTAACAATTTGATTTTGCCATATGTAAATGGGTTAATTAATCTATCATGTTACTGGTATAATAAATGATGATGATGAAATAGGAGTATAAAGAATTTTATTGACACAGTAAGTCAAACATACCAAAATGGTTGATGATGTTATTATGAAATATGGTTTATAGAAGCTATATAACATTAGCTAACAGTCCAAGCTTAGAATTAAATACATGTGGTTAATTTCCTGCTTCATCTCTTAGTTGCTGAATAAAGGTACAAATTGTACTTAACCTCTCTATGCTTTAGTTTCTTCATCTGTAAGACAATCTTAATGATAGTCTCCACTTCATAGGATTGTTGGAAGATGAAATAATAGAAAGCATACAAAATTCTAACCAGAGCCTACAATGTGGTAAAGACCATCACTGTATTGATTTTTATAGAATTATCCTCATTCAGATAGTTAATACTTAAGTAACACTCATGTCTACCAAGCACTCATGCCAATGCTTTCCAATGATTTACTCATTTAATTCCTATACTCATTTAATTAGCTATAAAGCTAGTATTATTATTACCTTCACTTTATAGATGGAGTAAGAAATACACAGAGGGTTGTATGACTGGCCCTAATCACAAACCTTATAAGTAGGGATATGAGATAGAAACTTAGTGTGGCTCAAACATCACACATGACTACTTAAGGAAATTATCAAATATTCTAGAAGTATCTTTTTTTTACTCTATCTAGGGTTTATTTTAATAAGATATACTCTAAATTGATAGCTCTGTGGCTATCTTGTTTCATACACAGACAGAAACACTATACAAAGTCATATTAAAATGCTTATTTGGGGGTGTGTTTTTCCCAAACTTTCCTGTACTAATTTTCCTGTACTAATTTGAAGTAACACTTATAGAGCAATTAAATAATTATCACATGCTTAGAACTAAGTTACATATAAGATTGAGTCCTTATACCCTCTGGAGTAAGTGCTTTATTACTTTTTTTTTTTTTTTTTTTTGACAGGCAGAGTGGACAGTGAGAGAGAGAGACAGAGAGAAAGGTCTTCCTTTGCCGTTGGTTCACCCTCCAATGGCCGGAGGGTGATCGGCGCACTGCACTGATCCGAAGGCAGGAGCCAGGTGCTTCTCTTGGTCTCCCACGGGGTGCAGGGCCCAAGCACTTGGGCCATCCTCCACTGCACTCCCTGGCCACAGCAGAGAGCTGGCCTGGAAGAGGGGCAACCGGGACAGAATCCGGCGCCCCGACCGGGACTAGAACCTGGTGTGCCGGCACCGCAAGACGGAGGATTAGCCTAGCGAGCCACAGCACCGGCCGAGTAAGTGCTTTTATTATGTCCCTTTTAGAAGGTCATCAACTGAGGAACAGGGAGATTTAGTAACTTCCCAAGACCATGAAAAAAAGCAATGGCAGATATTATTTATTTTACAGAATTTAAGACTTTTGAGTTGAATTCTCTAAGCACCATATAATACTGTGTAAAGACAGCAATGGGCAGTTATGAAGAAAACTTCTCAGTTGGATCCCTGTAGGGGAGTATGCCATACATGCAAAAGGCATCATTCAAATGCTGAATGAGAAAAAAAATCTCAAGATTTGCCCTAAATCCTTGGAGGGAGAATCGGCAATTCCTTCATTTCCATTGATCATCCATGTTTTTCCTACATTTTACCAGTAAATTCATTAACCACTATTTTATACACAATGCAAATGTTAATTTACTAAGCTGAGTATCACAGTCCTTTGTCAATTTATTGAGAACTGTCTTGGTTTGTATTAACAGACAGTAATGATATCTGCATCATACCATAAGAGACATAACTTGGGGTAGGAATATCAATCTTATCCCAATTTAATTTCTTAATGGGTAGAAAATGAGATGAGGATGCGAGAAGGTAGTAATGTCTTATGACTATAAGTAAAATGAGATAAAGTATTCATCCTGTTCATATTGTTTCAATGATGCACTGGTTAATACACCAGTAGACCCATATTATTCATATTTTCCCTTTCATTGTCTTCAATCCTTTTGGCTAGCCAAAGTCACCTAACTGTTGGATGATTCTCTTCCTTAAATTCAAACAAACTTTCAGATTACCTTAGTTTTCCTATTGGATCTGAAACTTTTTTCGGAAGCATTACTTGACAGTTCAAATTATATAGATTGGCACTTCAATATTTATTGACTGGAGTTTCTCATTTGATCTCCAACACAAATGCTTGTTACTGGTTACTTTTCCTTGTGTACTAGTCTTATCTTCCTCTTCAGACATAGATTTATCCCAGGGAAGAAAATTTTTTTTTATGCTATCAACCTTGTTCATTCTGCCCCACTCCTATGTCAAGCACTGCGCTTGATTTCATCTCCATAATTACTGCTCACACCAGGAGGAAAGATGTAGTTTACCAGGATCAGCAAATAACCAAAGACAAGAATAATAAATTGTCAGGTAGAAGCAAAATTTAAAAAGGAAGAAAGGCTTTGAATTTTAATCCCTTGGTAAAACCAATAACACTTCATCTAAGAGGGATCTAACACTGCAAGTCACCTATAGTCAATCTATTGAAGACATTGTTATTCCAGTTTTGAGAGACCCTCACTGGAAAGCTGTTTCCCCTTGTTCTGCAAGTCTGTATCTATTCATAAAAGACAAATGCAAGCATAGCTTTTCTTTGCAGATCCAAAACCATTTAAAAATCTCCCATGAATTATTTACATGGCAGCTCCAATCAGCAACATACCTGACAGACTCCCCAGCCAAAATGAAAGTTCACTGTGTAAAGGTGCCCAGGGAGGCTGGCTGCCTCCCACTGTGAGGTTATAGACAGAACTAAGTCAGCACACATTATATGTCAGTGCCGACATCAGAAGGAATCAGATTCTTTGATCTCAGACCTCCACAGGAAGCTTAGATCTCAGACAAATTAGATAAAAAATGAATTTATAGCAGATATGTGTCCTAAGGCATGCAGCTGAATGTTTGGGTTGTAGGGAAGGAAGGATAGTGAGTATCAAAACATATGAATTGGAATGCCTATCTTCCACCTCCACCCAGTGGATGAGTCCCCATCAAAATGAAAGGATGGAATTTCAGGCAGCCCCTCCATGCATCTACCAGTCCCTTTGGAGGACTTGATCGAGCTTTGGAGAATGGGATAAAATATGGGGAACACATATTCCTTCTCTACAAAACAAGGACTCATTCCTTCCAAGCTGGGTCCTTACAGGTCCACTGATACTCAGCTATGACTTTTCCAGATGTTTTAAACTTCTTTTCACTTCCAAAACTTTTTGAACAATGAATATATGCTGTCCCCCTGATTTTTAAAACTTTTGTGGGTGCTAAATCCTGGCTTCTTTTGCAATGAGAACATTAGTGATGAGTCCCTTTCCTCTCTCTACCTCCCTTTAGACTGTTTGTGGTTTTCCCAGCCCAGTTCCCTGTGAAGCCTCAGTGCTTGATTACTTGGATTCAGTACAAAAGTTATAATATAACTGAACCTAAACTGAGTCTGAAACAGAGGGCTGAAAGCTAGTCAGCCAATGAGAATTATGTACTCCATATTGGTTTGTCATTTATGCATAGGGGTGATAATCCTGCCCACACATTAAAAAGGTATACATAATAACTAACAAATTCTATTGCTTAATATTATCTGGGTTATTTATTACTCTAAGTGAAAATATATCAGTTATTTTTAGTAAGCAGTGCATGCATTATAAATAAGAAAACTATGAAAATTAGACAAAGATAAATAGAAGGGAAAAGGAAATGATACAATGGCTCTTCCATTGTATCATGATGATCTCTATTAGATTATTATATTATTTTTTGGAAACTCTGGCAATTCACATATTTCAGTCAACCTAATTTAATTTATTACCTATCTGGAATTTACTTTTATTTAAAGCATGAATGTAGACTGTTAAGTGTTCTAAGCAGTGAAATTTGCAAACTCCATTTATAGGCTGTGTACTTTTTATTCATTTTCTCTTTTATCATACATAACACTTCTAAATAGAAAGTCTATATCTAACCAGTATGTTTCCACTCAATGTGACCACACATTTTTGTATGAATATTACATTTTTTTTTGACAGGCAGAGTGGACAGTAAGAGAGAGAGAGAGAGAGAGAGAGAGAAAGGTC